CGAGTCAGTCGTCTGTGTTTTCCTGGTGTCGCTTTCCCCCTCCCTTTTGTTTCTTCCTTCTTCTGGCTCTCTGTACTACTGCTGATCTCTTTGAGCTGGCTCCTAATGAACTCATCATCTTCGGAACCTGAAGCATCTTCATCAGCACTCATTTCTATGATTTGTTTTCTAATAAAGTCCTCTTCTTCCCCTGATCCTTGACTGTCCTCGTGTTTATACTCATCGCTGCTTGAAGAACCAACGCTGGTTCTCCGTTTTCTTTGTGGAACCGGTGAGTTTTCACTTTCGCTACTGTCTTCGACTGAATCGTAAGGTTGTCTTCTTGTAGCTATGTCATCAACAAACTCAGACTTTTCTTTATGGTCCTTACTAGAAGAAAGGCTTGGTTGGCTATCTTTTTTAGAAATGTCTTTCTGTTCTTCCGGACTTACTTTTAGCTCTATCTCTGAAATAGTACTTTCCAGTGTTTCAGATAAAACATGGGTTTTCTGTTGGTCCTTAGGCTGCTCAGGGGAAATCCCATGGGGCTGTGTTTTCTTTTCTGGCTTTTCATCAACAAATGTACTTGCCTGAGCTTCCAAAATGGACAGGACTGTACTTTCTAACTTAGCCAAATCAGATGGACTAGAAGGGCTGCTTTCTTGTGAAAAAGTGTCCTTTTTGAGTCCCTTGAGCAAGTCCTTTTCATCGCTTGGAATAAGACTTGGAATTTCACCAAGTGAACCTGATATCCCATCAGAAGAATATCCTGTGTCGCTCAGACCTTGTGGACTTTTAGGCTGCTGAGAGCTTGAGGTGTCTGATTTGTCATCTTCCTTTTCCTAGCAGAGAGGAAAAGATACATGAAAACTTAACATGGTTAAACTAAAAACATGGCCTCTCCATTACTTCCAAATAACTATTAAGAACGGAAGAATTGTTATGGGAGTTTTTTCAACTATGCCAATTTTTTTTTTAAAGTTGGAATGAGAATGAGAAATGAAAATAATTGATATCTATCTATCTATATAGATATATATTAAGGTTAGTTATTAAGATTAGTTTTCATTTGACATAATTTAACTTAAATGTCAACTGCCAATGACATTTGATTTTTTTTCCATTAATACTTTACCCTTTTCTATTTCAACATTTTTCTTTTGAAAAATATGATTATCTTTCTCAGTACATTTGGGATAAAGTTCAAATTGTGAAGAAAATGTTTAATGATAAGCTTTCTATTTACATAATTAATACTTTGAGATTATAAGGTTGGGCCAAGAATAAGAAAGAATGAATCAGAGAAGAGGCTTTGTGCCTGGCTACAAGTTGTAAGGGATGTTGGAAATTTTACTTAACAAAAATAAGCAGATCACATATCATAATAATATATATCCCACCAACCACAAAATTTTCTGTCATGACAATCAGATAGAGCACAGCTTTCCAAAGACATACTGAAAGCTGCAAAATAGTATATATATACTTGAGGCTACTAACATTATTATTCTATAAAATTTTGCATAAATGTTTAGAAATTGTACATTTTTTAAAAAGTATGTAATAATTGTCCTGACTCATCAGTCCAGCTAAAGAGAAATATTTGATTGTTAGTTTTGTAAAGTTGTTGACCACATTTATCTTTAACATCCCACCTCAAAGATATTTTACAACTATTACTTGTAAATATTTTCTGATTTTGAAACTACTTGGCACTTTATATACAAAGCAGCTGCCTTCAGCCAGTACAGTAATGAATAATTCATTTTAAATTATTATTATTATTATTATTTTTAGTTTTTGCTATAGGGTGCCTGTGCTCACCAGACAGATTGAGAGACAAAGAGAGAAGGAAAGTGAGAAATCAGCCCCTAAGGGCAATGACCATGCCACAATCCCTTCTCCTCTCAGAATTTTGGGCACACATGTACACCTGCCTGGTGTGTTTTTCAAGCCACTGCTGGGTCCAGGACTCAAACCATGCAGTTGGCCATGTTGGCTCCAGCTATTTTAACCACCATGCCATTAGCTAGCCCAAAGAACAAACTTTTTAAAGTGGGAACATGGGCTATTGCAGGGAGCTGGAGCACTTAGTAGGCACAACACAGCCTTGACCTTGCTGCTTTTCTTATGCTGTGATGACATCATGCCAGCAATTTTTGTTCAAGAATCAGAAAGGCCTTAAATACAAATGTTAAACATAGAGACTTTTGCATAAGACTTTTGGCACATTAAAAATATCTATGAGCAAAATGAAACCAAGTGATGAAGTTAGTTTCTATGTTTCAAGGAGCGTGTCAAAAAGCCTCACAGCCCTGTGGAAAGAAGGGGTCAGAGAAAGAACTGCTTGGGAGGATCCCTCATCTTACCCTGGCTTAGGAGGCCACCTCAATACCACTAAGTCTGTATCTTGAACTAATTATGTCAATATTTTCAGTGGGTATGTGGGTATGTGAACCTATCTATAGTTCAAATGAGATGTTAGGTTTCACATAAGCAATATGCATATGAAAAACCTTTCCTTCCCTCTCTCCCTTCATCCTTATTTCATTTCTACCCTTTTTCCTTTCTTCCTTCACTTCTTTCTTTCTTTCTTTTTTCCTTCTCCTCTTCTTCTCTTTTTCCTCCTAGCTACAGAGTTCTCAAATACAATAGTTGTTGACTTGGTATTATTTTATATTCATTCTCATTTCAATATATATTTTTATCATATGTGGTAATATATAGATCCTGAGAACATTACAGGGTAAAAAACCTGTTATTGAATTTATAACATGAATCAATTTAAAAAAGTCTGATGTGGTTTGAACAACTTTAGTGAAAAAGCAATGCCTACTCTTTGGTTCACCAAGAATTAACTGGCTGGACCATTTCAGATATTTTTCCAGGCAAGGATTATTTATCTGCAGTTCGGAGACTATAGCAGCAAGGCTGATAAGCACACAGCTCATTTTGGTCCCTTCTTTTCAGAGCCTGACACATTGACGAGGCAAGCAAAGATGAAGCAGCCTTCTAATAAAAGCTTTCTGGGTGGTTACAGCAGATGGACATTTCCATCTCGTCACAGTCCATGCAATGCCAGAACACTTTTTTTTTTTTTTGAGTCAAATATGTTTTCTCTTTCCTTCCTTGTAGCCTTATCCACACTTCACTGAGTTACTAATAAATACCATCACCATAGGGGTGGGGTACCTCCTTGTGAGAACAAGGTGAAGAAAATGATCTTTCATAATCAAATGTGATGTCATTGGTATTCTTTATTTTCGTATTGTAAAACATATGTGTAATAAACCATACATATATGGATAAAATGTAACCTGTCATATGTAACAATTCATTGAATATAACAAAAGAGAAATTACAGATATATATACAATGGATTCTGAAAGTTCTACTGACATTTACAAAAATAAGGTTAGAACCAGACATATACAATATAACAAAGGAAACTAAGAGACATTAGACAGAAGACTATAAACAGGCAAATATCAGAATATCTACCCTACAATCCCCCTATGTAGCATTTCTCAGAGGGTTCATGCTTTGCTTCTTTCCTCTGCTAATTCCACCTGCTTACCCCTTGCCCTTCACTTCCTGGCCTCTTTTCTCCACACTTCTCACAGGATTTAATCATTATTTACCTATGGTGGTGATGCTGTGACCCCCCCCCAAATGACTCTTCCACATTGTGAGATGAAGTCTTTAAAGTGTTAGCTCTACTGGCACGTGGGTATATGTTATAATATTTGGACGGCTTGATAAGAAAATCATTAGCTGACCAAAAGGCAAGTGGCTGAACTGTTCAGAAGGGATAGGCCATGTACTTCTTTTATTATGATATATTGAAAAATGCAGTGTCATTTTTTTAGTTTAGCTGCAAAGTTCCCTAAAAGAGATTAGTCTCATGCTTCTTTGCTACAATGGTAGCTTTTTAACCATGCAAATCTCATCCTAATCAGGTCCTTAATTTAAGGCATTTATATATTCATAATAATGATTTCATATACGTGTGTGTGTGTGTATATATATATATATATATATATA